CACAGAACCCACAGATACAATCTGTCTCACATAAATACACAGTGAGCACCATGGGAACCAACACGGCTGCAACACGCAGACATGAAGTGCCACACGTCTTCATGAAAGTCAACAAATTCACACAGGCATCCCCGGCGTTAGCTTCGGCCAGAAACGGTGAATTATTTAGGAAGAGTGAAGCAGACGCTCGGCTTGTTAGCGTAGCCGCATGAAACCTTTGAACCAAAATAGCATCTTGGTGTCTGCGTTCAGTCCGAGGCATCAGGCGTGTTTACATGATCATCCAAACCATCACGTCTCTGAGCGTCCACCACAGCAGCAGGAGACATTTAAACATTCAGTCAATGAAATCATATCAACCTCTACCGTTCATCCCAGAGCTTTAAAGTCTCACACAATCTGCTGTCCAGAGTGGCTCTAGGATAAAAACTATCCTGGGAATCTTTACTGCTTCCTTTTAAAATGATTAAACTCAGCTCCTGTGTTAGCTCCAAACAAATGTAAATTTTAAAAAAATGATCAGAGGAGGTTTTAACCAGGTGTGTTTCCCCGGTCGGCCCACCTGTCCTGGTCCTGCATCATCCTGCCGCTGCTGGAGCCACGACAGGAAACAGGAAGTGTTACAGTCAGCAAGAGATAAAAACACAAATACGCTTCTGCAAATATGAGATAAGTTAATATAAGTTTGTGTTTAAAACCTTTCAGATGATAATAAACACGGCTGCTTGTCACAGTCTATGCTTCAGATTAAAAAAGCTAAAAAGGTTTGTTGACACGATAAATCAGCCTCTTTATCAGCGTTGAATAATGTTTGGATTCATTTCTGTGAAGGCAGTTTGCATAAAATTAGGTGGTATTCTTGCAGAGTTTTTAATCCTGAGACTGATTAAGCAATAAAAAAAAATGTCAGTCGTTAATAATGACCTGCTTCCGTGAAAGGTTTGTCTGTCTGTTAGCAAAATATCCCATGAATCACTGGATGCACATCTGATTACCATGTAGAGTCAACCCAGTTCAAGATGGCTGCCACAGCTAATCAACAGCAAACACAAAAATACCTAAAACTGTCATTTTTACAGACATTAAGCTCAAATTTGGTGTGGTAGTAGCTGAGAGTCATCCCCGTCACATACTATGAGCTGTAACTCATCTTGTGCTGCACATCCAAACATTTGGAATGAAAGCAGTGACGTGTGTTCCTTCAGTGAGCGCTGAGTATTCAGTAAACAATGATGTGAACAGAAAACAGGCGTGGACGTGTCGGTCAAATGTGTAAGAACTGAGCAGTGAAGGGCACAGTTCCACTAAAGCGCTAATAGGGGAAGTAATTTCTGGATTAGTGCTTTAGGTTTAGTGGTTTAGCACTCGCTAAATTTATGTTCTAAATTTATAAGCACTAATTGCGTTCTTTAAATATTATTGATCAACAGCAGTGTCAACAGCTGAGGGTGAAAGCTGTCAGACCTGTTGGTCATATGTGTCACTTCTCCACTAGATCAGTGGTTTTAAACATTTTTGCTTCCAGCCCCACCCTCCTGACCCCAGATATTACTTGTTTATGTAGCAAACTTTGCTAATAACTCTGTTAAATATAAGAATAATAACTGTAAACAAACCTAGTAACTAATTTTTAATCATTTATGGTTATTTTTAAAAACTGCAATAATCAAAAATGTAAAGCACTATTTTTTTGCATTTAAATTGATGTCTGTGTTATGAGAGGCTTGGTTGGATAGAACCCCAAGATGCAGGACTGAGTGAGTTTATACAAAAACATTTATTAAATGAGAACAAGAAGCTGTTAAGGCAGCAAATAACAAACAATGTCTAGGCAATAACATGAACAAGAACAAGAAACAGCAAACAAAGATCTGACAAAGACTGAGGACAAGGAACTGACTAAAAAGGGGAAACTAACGAGTGGAAACAGGAAAAACCTGGGAGACAAACATGAGGGTCAGGTGTGAGTGGGCGGGGCCGAGTAAAGGCAGACAGGAGGAAAACAGAGGGAAGCAGGAAGGAACTTCACACAGCTCCAGTGATCTGTTGAATATATTTGTGAAGACTGGAACCAGTTGTTCAGCGTAGGTCTTAAAGGAGACATATCATGCTAAATGCACTTTTTTTTGCATTTATAAACATTTTTTGTGCAATTATAGTGTCTAGGAGTGTAGAAAACTTTAATTTATTCTGTCCAGTTACTGCAAAGATATTTTTATATTATTTTATGTGTCAAATTTTTCAGTTTGTTCAAAATCTGCTGTTGCTTATTTCATTTCATTGTTTATTTCGTCACACTTTTTTCTTCGGAACTACCATTTATGGTAATGTATTTCCGGCCAACTGGATTTCATAGTCCACCATTTTTTTCCTCGCTGCTTGATTTTGTAGTTAATAGCGTCATGTGGAGAAACTAGTGGCATGCATTGCTCAGGTGTGATTTTGGCCCATTCTTCCACACAAACAGTCTTCAAATCTTGAAGGTTTCGTGGACCTCTTCTATGAACTCTGATCTTTAGTTCTTTCCATAGATTTTCTGTTGGATTCAGGTCAGGTGATTGGCTGGGCCATTCCAGCAGCTTTAGTTTCAGTTTCAGTTTCAGTTTTAGTCATCCATCCATTAACTAAAGCTGCTGGAATGGCCCAGCCAATCACCTGACCTGAATCCAACAGAAAATCTATGGAAAGAACTAAAGATCAGAGTTCATAGAAGAGGTCCACGAAACCTTCAAGATTTGAAGACTGTTTGTGTGGAAGAATGGGCCAAAATCACACCTGAGCAATGCATGCCACTAGTTTCTCCATACAGGAGGCGTCTTGAAGCTGTCATTGACAACAAAGGCTTTTGTACAAAGTATTAGATAAATTTCAGTAAGTGTGTTCAATACTTTTTCCCTGTGTCATTCCACATTATTACAAATAACTTCATTTCTGGACATTTATGGTTTGATTTCTTTGTATGTATGGATCACTTGGGTTGTTGCCAACATCTGGTGAAAATTTCATGTCATTAGCACCTCTAGTAATATATTTACTGAGAAAAATGGTGACGTGTTCAATACTTATTTTACCCGCTGTATGTGTATATGTGCATTGGTACATTACTATATAATACATGTGTATATTGTGGGGTTTTGTTTATCTTTTATTAATCTTTCATTATTTTTTCTCAGCCTCTCTTGTATTAAGCTGCAGTAATGTGCAAATTTCCAGACTGTGGGATCAATAAAGTTTTATCTTATCTTATTTTATCTTAAAAACAGTTTTTAGTCGGTAGATAACTGTGTTGTTGCTATGAAACTACAAACATGGCCGAACGGGGTGGAGTCGAACACTCACCTGGAGGGGGCGGGGTGTGAAATATCTCACTTGTATTTAAAGAGACCGCACCAAAACAGCTTGCTCTGAGGCGCAACTCAGAACAGGGGTAAAGCAAGGAAAGCAAGGAGTCTGTGGAGCAACAAAAACGAGGAATTAAGACCAAAGTGMTGCAMTTTTAWTTTAAATAGACCATAAGTGAATGATTTAGACGTGAAAAAGGATTTAAAAGCATGATATGATACCTTTAAGGCAGGAAGGTGAAACACCGTCTGGTCCTGGAGCTTTCTTGATCTTTTGTTTCCAGAACAATTGGCTCACATCACCTTCGTGTGTCTGGAATGCAGCTTGAGTGGTGGGGAGGGAGAGAAAGAGGGTCCTCACTGTCTTGTTGATGAGCTGTGGGGTTGTGTAGAGGTGTGAATGAGTTCTTCTCAAACCTACAATAGAAGCTGTTCAGGTCGTCAGCCAGGGCTTTGTTAGCCTCGGCAGCGTGGGATGGCCTTCTGTAGTTTGTGATGTGCTGAGTGGCCTTCTGTAGTTTGTGATGTGCTGAGTGGTCTTCTGTAGTTTGTGATGTGCTGAGTGGTCTTCTGTAGTTTGTGATGTGCTGAGGACCTCTCCACTCTGAACCAGGGTCGTTGGCTGAGAGCTGACTTTTCAGCTTTTCAGAACAGCATTTTTTAGCCACTCTGATTTCCCTGGTCAATGTGTTCCTTGCCTTTTTGTACAGAGCTCTGTCCCCACGCCTGTGAATGGGAATGAGCTTTTGCTAAATTTTTAAGCGTGTTAACTGCGTGTCTAACCAGGTGGTCAGCAGCACAGGAGCACGACAGGGAACTGTACTCCCACCATGAAGCAGCTCTGCTGTCCTCCATCCATATTTTCAGTTCCAGGCTGAGTCATTTCTACCTTCTCCTCTCTGTCAACGCTCTCTGGTTTCATTTAAAAGAGTCGATCATCAGATATTGTCCAAGATTAACCTTCAGGGTGGATATAGCTCGCTAGCAGCCTCGCACCGAGGACCTATCCACGTCATCATTTACCCAGAATGCTRTGRGTGMAAATAAAATGGCRCCGTCRGTGTWAAAWWYTYTWAAAATATACATTTGAAAATTATAAAAACTAAACATCCTACAGTATTTTTACAGTCTTTATTTCACAGTTAAAATATATGTTTATCAAATAAAGTCTTAAGTTACAACTAATCGTGGATCCCTTTAATGAGTTTATGTTGCTCAGTGCAGGAAAAAATCAGCCAAAGCTGGGAGACAATAAGTAAGTAAGTAAATAAATGAATAAATGGAGATAAAACAGGATCTTGGCAGAAGATGTGAGGAAACCCAGACGTGTCAGGCTAACTTCACATCATTTAAAATTTTAAATGGGAGTCTTTTTTTCTTTTTGCAAATTTCCACAGAAAGTTCAGCTCACAGCTGACACACAAGCATCTGTTTTTAAGTCGTACAAGTAATGCATCAATAAGGTTTTGTGTTTTTCTGACTAAATGAAGGATAAATATTTGTGTTTTTGTTAGAAAGAGACGACTTTTTTAATATGAACCTTACAGATGTGTTTGATTCATGGAAACAGTTAAAAGTCTGCGTGTTGAACGTGCACAAAACCAGCTTTTTGTGTGTCCTTAACGTCGACTCTTCTTCTCTCTTCGCTCTCCCACGCAGGCCTACAGCTCCGTCCTGGTCGTCATGGTGATCCTGCTCAACATTGGAATGGCTGTTTTGTTTATCCACTTTTTTATTTGAGCAGCTTTCAGAGTCAAACCTACCTATGCTAGAGAAACTTATCAGTTCATGCGAGTATTACAGCGGATCTGCCGGCCCTCCCGGGGGTCCGGGACCGAAGGGGCGGCCGCGCCATCGCCCCGGCTAAAGAAGCTAACGGAGCAAGCTAACGGAGCGAGCTAACAGAGCAAGCTAACGGAGCTTGGTCCGGTCAACGCGGAGCCCAAAGAAACGGACAGAATGTTGTAAACGGTCCAAACAGCTGGACTACGTGGAGACGATAAAGTCCAGGAGCTGGACTCGAGGTGAGCCTCGACGGCTCACATCCAGACCCGATCGGGCCGAGCCGGTCTGCCCGTCAGGCCGGCAAGCGCAGATGGGGACAGACAAACTTTTTTTCATTGTCAGATCACGTTTTTCAACAGATTTGTATCTTTTAATTTATTTATTAAGGGTTGTTTCTCATTCATGTGCAATACGTTGGTTCTGTTGTTTGTTCTGCCACAGACCGCTCCTCGGTATGAAACTCCCGCCTTTTGGTTCATCTGCAGGTCTGGTTGTTGTTACTGATGGGCCACGCTCTGCGTGCGTGTGTGTGTGTGTGTGTGTGTGTGTGTGTGTGTGTGTGTGTGTGTGTGTGTGGTCTTTGTGGCCTTCCATGTTGACACATCTGGTGTCAAACTAAATTAGTCTGAGTTGCAGATTTAAAGCTCGTGTTCATAAATTAACGTCACCGCTGACCTGTAGATCAAACCCCCAACCCTCAATGTACCACCCGCGGTACGTTCCCAGTTTACGGTTACTTCCTGCCTCGTTATAGCCTGACTAATATGGAGCAGTATGAGGGCCAAAATTAACACTATTGTGCAACCAGTGGTTGCTACATCCTTGTAGCAGGAGGCTACATCTAGTCCTAATCCAGCTATTGATCTGATTAATGAAAGGCCGACACCGCTAACTGAGAGGCCGGTTTGTGTCTAATATAGTAGGTAAGCAGCCTAGGCATGCTAGTCGCTAGCCTCTTCAATGCTAACACCAGCTAATCCATGCTAGTTGCTAGCCTCTCTGATACTAATGCCAACTTATCCAGCCGCCCTAGCCTCTCCGATGCTAACGCCAGCTTATCAATGCTAGTCCCTAGCCTCTCCAATGTTAATGCCAGTTTAGACATGCTGGTCGCTAGCGTCTCTGATGCTAATGCCAGCTTATTCATTTTAGTCGCTGGCCTCTCCGATGCTAACACCAGCTTATCCATGCTAGTTGCTAGCCTCTCTGATACTCATGCCAGCTTATCTATGCTAGTCGCTAGTCTCTCCAATGCCAATGCCAGTTTATCCATGCTGGTCGCTAGCCTCTCCGATGCTAACACAAATGAGTAGTCTCCTCCTCATTTACCAGTGTCAGCTGCTCAGTTAGCGGTGTCGGCCTATCATTAATCAGATCAATAGCTGGATTAGGAATAGATATAGCCTCCTGCTACAAGGATGTAGCAACTGCTGGTTGCACAATAGTCTTGATTTTGGCCCTCATACTGCGCCATAGACCAACACTACCAGGACTTTGAATTTGCGTAATAGGCTGTTTGAACAATTTGATTGGTTGTCTTCTTTGATTGACACCTCTTTTGACCAACTGGGTTCATCTATAGGCTCTATAGAGCACAAAATGTGTGGCAAGCCCCCTCATGTGATTAATGAACTAGAATTGGCCAATCAGCTCTGAGCCTTATTCTGACACCCCAGCTGTGTAGCCATGCTAACAATAGACAGGGTCTGCATCTACCCAGTCTTGGTGGACCGGGTCCTTTGTCGATAACACCAGAAGAAAGTGGCTGTGAATTTGGATGGTAATAATTGCCAAAATATCGATATATTAACATTATAAATTATCAAAATTAGCATAGAGTTAACAACTGAAGAACTAATGGACCTGTCGTACGAGCTCGTTTGATTTATGACGAGAGTAATATTAAAAAACATGTCGATGCAACTAACGACACAACCGCTTTGAACTTTACATTTTTTATACCGTCAGATTTTTATTTAAAACTGTGCTCCTTTCTCTCGCTTCGTCTGCATTACAAGAAAAAAAAATTACATTTACTTTCTTACAGCACTAAGAAATGTTTTGCACATAGTATTTTTTATCGTAACTTTTACTTTAATCTGTTTACTTTTAACATCTTGTTCCTCGTTACAAACATAAATATGTTTCTTATGTGTTAAATTTATTTATGCCAACTGGTTCCACTAAACCGAATTGAGTATGTAAAGTAATTTCCACATTTCTTTCAAAGAAAATGTGTAAATTGGTCAATTTTCTCAGTAAATGCAACACTCCTTTTTTAGAGTGCATTAATTTTACGTTCCAGGTTATTGTGAGCAGTTTTATGATTTTTACTCAAGTCTTATCAGTGAAATTAATTTTTAACAGTAATTTTCTGTTCAGGTATTTTTATTTAATAGTTTTTTCCAAGTACTTTCTGAGTACTACACCAATTTTTAGGTCAGTTTCTGCAAAATGAACTAAATTTATAAACATTTTTGTGTCTCTGCAGTCAGTTGGCAGCCTTCTTAAATTAAGGTGACTCCAGGAATCTGTGGGTTTCAGTAATATTTGTGGCTTTTTCCCTAAATGTATTGTTTAATTTAGTGTAATGAGAGTTTCATCTCCATCAGTAACAACAACCAGGAGCTTTTATTTGATTAGGTTTTTGTCTGCCAGCGTTTCTCCACCTTTGTTCTGGAGCTGAAAACTGGCTGTAGGTTTATTTCTGCTGTTCGTTCATCAGCTGAAGTTGGATGTGCCTGCAGCCCGAGAGGCAACAGATTCTTTGTTTTTATTTATTTATTTGTTTGTATTTTTTTGTTCCCGGTCTCAGAAAGATTCGAGAGGCTCTGCCGTTAACAATCGGCCAGGTGACGACGTCCTGCGCCACCGATTTAGTCTGCAGCATGCTACAGCATGCCAAGCTCTTTCTATACTTCAGATCTCCTCTCTTCTTCCTTCTTTCTCTCCTTCTTTCTCTCCTTTTCTTCTTTCTTTCTTTCTTTCTTTCTTTCTTGAAAATATTCGTTTTTTTGATTTTCAGTTGTGTGGAGAAAATAATGAAAGTGTTTCAAAGAAAACAACTTGTCTAGTGTGTTTTTCTTCTTGCTTTCGTGTGTGTGTGTGTGTGTGTGTGTGTGTGTGTGTGTGTGTGTG